AGGCCAGAATTATGCCTGAGGGAGGAGGGGTAATGATGTGAATTCTCATTGAGACGAGGTGATGGAGGCAATTTAGGAGAAAAAATTGCATTCTTTTCCCTTTATGTTATGAAGGTTAAAACTAAGGCTGTCTACCTGCACAGTAAAAGTGTTTTCTTGGGACTTTTTTCCAAGTGCATTAGTGCCAAATGGACTCTCCATGCCTCATATTAATGAAACTGCCAATTAAACCTTGAGGAATAAAGTTTTCTAGGAAAGTTTTAGATAACTTGAGAAGTACTACAGCAGTAAATAAAAATATTTTAAATGTCAAAGTTTTGATTATTGATTACTTTAGATAAAGAAATGATAGAGCATGTCAACATCCAGACAATTGTATTTTCTCTCCTTTTTCTCTTTTACTTCACCTGTTTATTCTCCATTCACTCAGTGACTACATTAATATATCTCATTCTTTTAAGTTAAAAGGCATGTGCCATGACTCATGTTTGTAATCCTAGCTACTCAGGAGGCTGAGATCTGAGATTGTGGTTCAAATTCAGCCCTGGCAGGAAAGCCTGTGAGACTCTTTTCTCCAATTAACTATCAAAGAGCTAGAAATGAAAATATAGATCAAGAAATAGAGTGATAGCCTTGAACATAAAAGCTCAGGAACAGTTCCCAGGCCCTGAATTTGAGCCCCAGGACCAGTACCACACAAAGTATGAGAGAGAGAGAGAGAGAGAGCACAAGCCTGAGAGGCAGAGAGATTGTAGTAAAATATGTATAGAGGCCATAGAGGTTTCCTTTACAAGAGGTGCCATTGGGATTTTAGTTATTTCTACAAAAGGCTCAGGCTCTCCTGATTGAAGTACCAGTATGAGACCAAGAGAAATGATGTCTTCATTATCTTCTTGGCTTTTAATTAGCTCAATAGGTTTAGCAGGATAGCAAACCATGGTGCTCTTCACTCTTCAATGAGCATAATTTCATATGGTCATGTGTGCATAGCTATTGGACTAATATGGTCCTCTGCTAGGACTATCCTAGATATATACTAATTATTACAAATGAGGTTAACCATGGAGCCTATGTTTACTATTTTATAGTCCTTTCGTTTTTCCTCCTCTGGTTTATTCCCTATGGGTGAAAATGCAACAGCAATACTCACTAGACATATGTTGGCAATGAATCTTACAACTTGGCAGGGAGGGGAGTCAAGGGAGAGGGAAAGCAGGAGAAACTGAGGGATGAAATAATAGTATTCAAAAAGAAATGTATTTATTACCTTACTCATGTAACTGTTACCCAGCTGTACATCACCTTTACAATACAGAAATTTAAAAAAATAAATAAATAAAATCCATTTGCAGTGTAAAAACAAACAATTTAAGAAGGCCATAAATGATGGAAGATGTAGAAAATGTGTAATGACTTCAGATCCCCAAAAAGATAATATAGTGGAGACTCCCTGGATTTTCTTTGTTTTTATTGTGAAAATACTGTATAGAGGGGTTACAATTACATGGGCAAGGTAATGAGTACATTTCTTATCAAGCATTGTAGCCTCCTCTTTTGTTTTCCTGGATTTTATTTTTAACCTCATGTGCTATCATCATGTTGCCAAGGTATCAACAACTCAGAGAGACAAATACTTTTAGAAACAATACTTTTAGAATCTTAGCACAAAGTCAAGATGTTCGGCACAATCCACTGAAAACCAGGATAACACTCTACCCTTCCACACACATACACACACACTCACATACACGTGCAAACACACACACTGCATTGAATGCAGGGGGCATATGGATGACATTTGTGTAGTTTTCCAATCCAATCTACTTGTACAAGTGTCACCCAGAGAAAACCTCTTTCTCTGTAAGTTACATAGCATGGAAGAAGGCAGTTAAAAGAGGTGTTTTTTTTTAATGTCCTTCCCCCACAGTATAACACCTGCGTTCACTGTATTTGATGATGGTATAATTTGTGGAGGGGAAGGGAATAAAAAACAAATCGTCTAAATAGGGATACAGGAGGACCTATCGCAACAATGAGATGTACAAGTTGTTATATCGAAAAACAAACCTTACAACTTTGACTGGGGGAGGGCTGGGGCAAGGGGAGATTCGAAGATGGGAAAGGGGAAATAAAGGAGGAGGCAACAATGCTTGATAAGAAATGTTCTCATTATCTTTCCCATGTAATTGTAACCCCTCTGTACGATATTTTCACAATAAAAAAGAGAAGGTTTTAATAAAATTCTTCATATCTAAAAATGTCAGATTTCCTTAAAATCAAACAAATAAGTAACTTTTTATATCAAGGAATTAAAGGACTCCAATGGAAAGGAAAACATGTATCAATAAATACCTTTTGAAATGAGAGCACTATAGTTATATAGCAAATACTTTAAAGCAAGCTTCACAGGAAAAGTATCTCAATAATTAGATGAATTAATGTGTTTGAGATGAATAAGAATGAAATGAAAAGACTCACTAATATATACAACATCATAATAAGGAGATAGAAGGTATAAAAAACTCAAATAAAAAAATATAACGGAAAATTATGATGTCTCAGTTTAAATATTAATATAATGAGGATTCATGTCCAAGTAGTTTATTTGCAAATGCACAAATAGAACAAGGAAGCAGACACCAGTGGCTCACACCTGTAATCCTAACTACTCAGGAGGCTGAGATCTGAGGATTCTAGTTCAAAGACAGCCCAGGTAGGAAAGTCTCTGAGACTCTTATCTCCAATGAATCACAGAAAAAGACAGAAGTGGTACTGTGTCTAGTTGTAGTAATAGCCTTGAGAGAAAGAGCTCAAGGACAGTGCTCAGATCCAGAGTTCAACCCCAGAACTGGCAGAAAAAGAAAAATATAGATGAATAAAACTTGTTGATATTGGTTTAAGAAGAATGAAAGACTTAAGGTAGAATGATAGATAAGGTGAAGCTGATCAGGATACATTGCTTGCATTTGTGGAAATGTTACAAAGAAACTTCTCTCACATACCTAATACATGCCAAATATATATTGATAATATATATATATATATATGGATAAAATGTATAAGTATGAGAAATAAGGGTAAAGAATAGACATCTTGAACATATTACAACCGAAATCACTTAATACAGAAAATAGACTGAAACTAACTGAAAAGATTATTATAAAGTTGTAGTATTCATGTTCCTGGAGAACAAGAAAAAAATGAAAAAGAGACAAGACTATAAAGTACTTTAAATATGGCACTCCCAAACTTGGTGAAAGACAGAACCCATTAATTCAAGAATTTGATCATAAAACAACTAGGTTAAGCTCAAAGAAATCTGTACCATGACACATCACAAACTTCCATAATAAAAGACAAAGAAAAAAATTGTGAAACCAGCAATATTGAAATGATACATTAGCTACATGAATAAAGAACCTGGATTGACATAGGAGTTGTCACTGAGACCAGAGGGAAGTGATCCAACATTTTGAAATACTCAAACTGTCAACCCACACTTTCATATCTAAAGGAAATACCTTTCAAGGAAAATAAGACATCAAAACACTATCAGACAAAGGAAAATAATTTGTCATTTTCATGTATACTCTAAAATGAGAGCTAATAAAATTATTCAAAAGGGCATGAAACAATAAAGAGGAAATGTAAGGAATTAAAAATGAAAATAATAGGTTAAAATGGATAATTGCTATAAATTTTCCTTTTCTTGAGTTTTCCCAATTATATTTGATAGTTGGAGCAATAATAATATTATCTGATATAATGTCAAGCACATAACAAGGAAATAATAAGACAGCTATAAAAAAGTAAGGGAAATTAAATGCATTTAAAGGAATTAAAGCTCTATATTTCACTCAAATCATGAGGTCAGTACATTATAAGTAGTTACATATGACTTCTAAGGAGTCACAAATATATTAATAGAGATACACTAAGTGAATCAAAACTAAATTCTAAAAACCACTCAAGAAACAGATAAAAACTATAAATGATAGGAATGAAGAAAATGAAAAACAGCAGAAGGCATAAAATGAATAGACATTTAACATTTATATCTAACATAGTTACATTAAATATAAATGTCTTAATATTCTAATTATACTTTTTGAAAAACTGAATTTTATAACTTGACCCAAGTATTTTCTTTCAACAAGTATTCACTTCAAATATAATAATAGGAATTGGTTAAAAGCAAGAGGATGAGAAAAACTGTATCAATACACTGATTGAAAAAAGATTGCATGGCTATATTAATATCAAATAAAGTATTTTTAATGGTAATGAACATCACCAGAGAAAGAAATTAACAATATATAATGTTTTATAGGCCAATCCTTGAGGGAAAATTAGCAGTTCTGAATAGAGCTGTTAATATATGAAACAAAAGATAGTACATAGCTGGAAAAAGAAATACATACTCAATTATAGGTGAAAATATCTACCCTTATTAACCATCTGTCATATACATGCACTCTGCTAGACCAGTCCTAAAACCTCACCCTAGGAAACCCATGGTTTATTAGAGGAGCTCATATTGTTTACTAAGATTATAAAGGATATAAAGGTAATCTTTAATAGTGCAATATTGTTTGTTTAAAGTATGTTATTTTAAACGTGAATAATGTGAAGATAAATATGTAACTCTCAATTTATAGAATTTAACAAAATTTGTTTTGCTCTGATGGCATTTCCCAGACATAATAACATCTATGTAAGCTTTGGTAGATTACAAATCTATCCACAGCTAGGAAGCAACCTACAGCTAGGAAAATGGAATTCTCTGCATGTCTCCAAGTATTTGTTTTTCTCCCAGAGACACAATTCACACTGATTCTGTTTCTGCTGGTCCTTTTGCTTACAAGTGTCAACTGGTAGACTGATTGAAACTCGAAGAGCATAAAATTAATGCATTATGAAGAGGGAAATCAGAGACGCACTGAAAGTAAGACTCAAAGTGACAGAAAATATCAAGATAAAATGATACGATGACTTACCACTGTATAGATTTGATGCTTTCGTCTTTTAGCCAGGTCAATTATGTTGATGCCATTGTAGTAAAGATTTTCTATGCATCCATGGAAGTTTTTCTTTAAAAAGGTCCCAGGTTTTCCTGGTACTGGAATTCCTCCAAAACTAAGCTTTATGGGGAAAAAATTAAAATCAGTTTAGTGATAAGTTCTTAGAGAGTAGAACAGGATAGGAAACAAGTACATTTCACTAGATTCACTTGTATATATCAGCCAACTGGCTCAAATAATTATAGATGCCACTTGATTACACATTTAAAAGGATACTGATTACCCTGTGTAAAAATAACTATAATTGCTTGCTTGTTAAAGACTGATTTTTACAAAACCATTCTCATTTCTCTTCTAAATCTTCTTAATATTAAATAAAACAATAATTTTCAGGCAAAAGAAAAAGAAGAAAGAAAATTGACATCTTTATATTTATCTCTTACACAAATATCTTAGTGACCAGGGTCATATCACAGCCAAGGCTCAGGCAAAACACACTTCTATTTGGCTGAGGCAAACTTGGTTTATAAGCCTCCATTGTATCCCAAAGGCCCTATGCCCAAAGATATTGTGAAATTCTTATCTAAAAAAGTTAAGTATAGGAAAAAATACAAATAGTCCAAGGTTTTATAAAGCAAGTGAGAGTCAGTGAAGTCGAGTCATAATTAATGTGAATAATGGCAGTTATTAGACATTTGTGGTCAAAAGGAAAAGAATGCAGTTTTGCCTGAAAACTACAGGGGTTAAAATTGGCTGCCAAGTTGGTGTTGGTAATAAAATACTGCACATTGAATGTAGTCAGTGAGTAAACACACAAACCATGTGCAGATGCCTCTGGGAAGGGTGTGGCCTATTAATTTCCTAATTTCATTAGGAATTTATGCAAAATGGTTATAGACCCTGTTCTACTATGCAAGACAAAAAGTATTATTTCTTTTATTATTATTAATATTTTTTTATTATGAAAATACCGTACAGATGGGTTACAATTACATGGGCAAGATAATGAGTACATTTCTTATCAGGCATTGTTGCCTCTTCCTTTGTTTTTCCCTTGCCATCTTTGCCCTCCCATCTCCACAACTACATTTCCTTCCCTCTGCCCCTTGCACAGCCAAAGTTGTAAAGTTTGTTTTTTGACATAGCATCTTGTACATTTCATTGTTACAATGGGTCCACTTGTATCTCTATTTAAACAATTTCTTATTTCCCTTCCCCTCCCAAATTAAACCAACATCAAATACAGTAAAAACAGGAGTTATATCGTGGGGGAGGGACATACAAAACAACAAAAAAATCACCTTATAAATATGTTAGAAACAATAGCAAAAAAAACAACCATTTGAGTCTTTATCTTGGGGTTCATTTCGCCTAACATCAACTTATCTGACCATGTCTTGTTGTCTCAGACATATATTAGTTATTGCAAATAAGGGAAACCATGACCTATGTTTCTTTGGGCCTGGTTTACTTCACTTAATATAATTTTTTCCAAGTTTTTCCATTTCCTAACAAATGAGGCAATGCCATTCTTTCTGATGGAGGCCTAGAATTCCATTGTGTATAACAGCATTATTTACCATACCTAAGACATGGAACCAACCCAGATGCCCCTCAGTAGATAAATGGATCAACAGGATTAGTTCTTTTACCACAACTATCCAACTGACATTAGACAATCAGTTCTTTACCATTGCTTTGAAATTTCACTTCATTTTGTACTTACACATTATCCAGTTTGAATATCTCTCTGTCTGTCTCTGTGTTTCTGTTATTGTTTCCTCTCTCTCAAACACACACACACACACACACACACACACACACACACACACACACACACACACACACACACCCCATACAATGTTACAGGCAGGTCAATTATCCCAATTAGATTGTCCTCTTAGATGAAGAGTTCCTGTTATATTAAGGAGAATATCTAGATGTTCAAATTGTTCTTAAGTTCTACATATTTAAACCATAGTTGCAAATGCACTAGATCGTGATGATTATTGATCCTATTGTTCACTTTTACTTACTATGGTTTTAATTTTTAAAGAGAATTATTTGACTTTTCAAAATTTTTGTTAATTTCAGATTGCATTTTATTTTGTAGGAATTTTGATTGATTTTAATTAGAGCATTTACTAGAAGAATGGATGTTTTTAAATTTATTTCATCTTCCTCTCCAAGAACCCAGAGTCATTTTATGTTTCTCATGATAAGGTCTTTTAACTGAACATGCTTATTATATTCTTGCCCTACCTAGTTCATATAATTAACTTTGATTTAACCCATGTTATATTTAAATATTGAAATTGAATTTAAATTGTTTCCATATTTTAACATGTAAGTATTATACCTTACTAGTGTTTACTTATTTCCATAATCATATTTATGTATGGTTTTCAGGTAGTTTCTTTGAATTTGTGAAGCATACAATCAATAGGAAATGTACTCATTATATTGCTCATGTAACTGTACCCCTCTGTATAGCATTTTTACAATAAAATACGTGCAAAAAACAATTATAGGACATACATAACATTTTTCATTTAACCAATTTTCTCTGTATATTTTCATTATTTTATTGTACTGGTCAAAATTTCCTAAGAGATGGACAAACATTTTAAGAAATATTAAACAGAAATAATGGTATAGAACTTTGTAAAAGATAAACTTGTATTTTCCAATACAAATTTTCAAAAATTCTCTATCATTTCACACAATATTTATTCACGTGTTGCTAACTTATTTAAAATATGAATGTAAATTTCATCCTATTTGTTTACTTATTTTTTGTGATACCGAAATAGGAATTCAAGCCCTTACATTTCCTACATAATTTTTTGTATCACTTGAGTTACATTCCAGCTCACCCTCTGCTTTAATTTTAATTTTTACAGTTTAGAACATCAAAACTGGCTCTCCTAAAGCTCAAAGCAAGACGTGGGATCTAACAACAGGATAGGATACCTGTAATCAATATATTCTTAGGTAATTCTGGTGAAGAAGTAGTCAGCTCACTGGGGTTTGGCCAGATGGACTCTAAATGAGCATAAAAGAGATGAAATGGGATCTTTATTTCAGGCAGAAAGGCCAAGTGCCTTTGGATCCGCCTATAGAGTGACCACATCCCAGAGGCTCCCTTTTCCCACATTTCTTCCCCTTTCTTGCCTGGCTTCCTTTGACAATTTGTTTTCTGATTGAACCTACAAAAGAAGTTACACAGAGAAATCACTCTACCCACTGGATTGTTACTGAGCACCCCCATCTGTTAGCTCCAACATTGGTACAGCAGAGACTGGGAGCCAAATGGGGCTGGCGATTAGCATTATGGAAAATATCTGTTGATCAAAGGTACACGCAACATTGCTCGCTGTGAATTTTATGAATGGAACTAGATCGTAGCAATGTATTACACGATAATAGTGGCAATATGTGGTTGTTGAATGAGCATGTGTAACTTGGCTTAGTGACTGAAGAATGAATATTTCAATTTAATTAACCTTAGGTGCTGGGGATGGAACCTAGGACCTCCTGTATAGCAGACAAACACTGTACCACCCACCCGGGAAGGAGACACCCCATCCAGACTTAATCTTAAATACAATTTGAATTGTCATATGTCACAATTGGCTATCATATTGGACAGTACAGTATTTGTAATTGAAACATATTCCAAAGCAATTTTAAAAATTATATGATAGATCAGATATTAGACTCTAGACACACTTTATAATACAAAAGTTTGTGGTTTCAAATTCAAAGTTTGTGGTTTTAAATTATTCTCAGAAGTTTTAAGTTGTTTTGTATAGCCAGTGGTTTGAAATGAAATCATCTTCAAGTGTAGCTACATAGAAATATTTGGCCTATTCTTTTGTTAAGGGCCTTGGAAGGTATATTAACACTAATCTTGGTACATATATTAGTACTTTAAATAAAGCATTGGATTTCTCACTTCATTATAATGACCCCTACCTAGTAATTTTTTCAAATCTTAGAACACAACTGCAAACAAGCTTATTAAATATCATGTGTATCTCCATATAGATAATTGCCAATAGCTGTGTCTAATGAGATTTTTGTTTGTTTGTTTGTTTGTTTGTTGTCAATTTTGGGGCTTGAACTCTGGGCCTAGGTACTATCCCTGAGCTCTTCAGCTCAAGGCAAGAGCTTTACCACTTGAGCCACAGCTCCACTTCCAGTTTTCTAGTGGTTTATTGGTGATAAGAGTCTCACGCACTTTCATGCCCCGGTTGGCTTTAAACCTCGATCCTCAGATCTCAGCCTCCTGTGTAGCTAGGATTACAGGTGTGAACCACGGCTCCTGGCTTTGTCTAATGAGTTTTAAAAGATTTTCTCTATTCAAAAAATTTCGGCTTGTGCCAAGGAGACCTAGGGTTTCTCCTATTCCATCCTGTAATGTTTTCAGAGTGTCTACTTTGACTTCAAGGTCTTTGATCCATTTGGAGTTGATTC